TTCTATTTAACCTATCTCCAAGATCCTATACTTCGTTTTCTCCTTATTAATTGACATCCAGAAGCCTTTTAAAAAACATTTACTAATTTTTTTCCACCCGAGGCAAATCCCGTTACCACTTACTAAAATGTTGTGTCATCAACTTTCCAACAATGCCAGCCCCCCCACCCCTTTGCACCAACCCCTTTTGCTGCCAATAAGACCCTAATTCCTCTAAAAAAGGGGACCGTAAACACGCAAAAAATTTTTGTGAAGGGGAAAAACCCTTGAGAGCCCCTGCTCATCTGAATTTGTTCTCCTAACCTTCCATTTACCTGCACCCGAAAGGTCATCTTGATACTTAATTTCCCAGTATAATTTCCTCCCCAAAACCCCTCCATCTCTAATCTTCCATAACGTTTCCCTTTCTACATATAAATTGCGCCCCCCAATTTTAAGCCAACACCCCCCCCCCCCCCAATTTCTCTTTCTTCAATAAAACTTCTAATAAACCATGCCCGTCATACAAAACCCTTCCCCGGGCACCCCAATTGTCCCTTATCGATCATTTTTCCCAGGACCTTTTTTATTCTGTTAGCTAAAATTCTTGCAAAATCTTATAATCACCCACAATAACGAATAGCACATAGTCTTTAATGTTAATGGTCCCTTTAGGCACTAAAACGCCCAACCCCATCCGCTGCGTCCCCCTAAAACCCCAAACCCCCCTTAATGATTTGAATAATCTTACCAAAAATTCTTTTAAAAACGCTCCAATTTTGGGATAAAAGTCACTGGGCAACCCCTATTTTTCCCGGGCCTTTCCTAATTGCGCCCCCGGGTAAAGCTACCCATGTCCCGCACTCCGTTATCGGGCCCTTCCAAAACGAACGATCATGCTCTGTCAACTCACACTGCACAAAACCCTTTCCCTTGACTGTAATGCTATTTCACTTTTTCCCCCACTTTGCGTTTTCAATTAACCCCAAAATCAATACCCACTCATACCCTCAGTCGTCGTCAAACCTGGGCCACTTTAACCCCTTTCATACCAACCCGAACATTCAACCCCTTAATCCATTTCCTTGCGACGTGTGTTTTTGACTTCCGCAAAACCCCACCCGACGGCCGATCTCCCCACAAAAAATCCCCCAATCCCGCCCTTAACCCCTTTCCCCCCAAACCCCCATTTTGAAAAAATTCCGATATTTTCCTTCAAACTTTCATTTCAATAACAGGGAATTTCTTAATGTGTGCATAACATCGCGCAACTGCCCCTCTAAAAATTTTTGAAAACCGATTGTAACTGATTATTCCTTCCCCCGATTAAAAATATTCCTTTATATTTTTTTTTTTGTTTTTTTTTCCCCCCAATTAACCATGGCAACATCCCCTGGTGCTTTTACCACAAAAAGATCCCACATAGCCCAAAAGACAAAAGACTATTCTTCCTTTAATAACTTTACATTCAATTTCCAAAAAGATGGACCCCCCCGAGGAACACCCCCAATATCCACATCTATTACCACTCCTCTAGATCCAAAAAAAAAAACATCTATACATCCCCCTCCCACAGTAACCCCACAAGGCCGTACATTCGGTCCAACCTCGCCGCATAACCCGTTTAATGAAGGTATGCTCTACCATCCCTCCCCCCCCAACACATCCCTTTAACCCCCCCCCGGTCAATTATCCCCCAATTACCAAACAACACCCCCCACCCCGGCTCCACATCTTAGAGTATCACCAATTCCATCTCCCCCCTATTATTGCAAAATTCGGTAAACCCCGTAAAAAATAGACCCCAAAGTCCGAACAAATTTAGTTTAATACTCACGTCACCCTCACCGGGCCATATCACATACTAAACTAATGGGAACCCCACCCCAAGTTCCATCCACCCTAATTACCCCCCCTCCCCCCCTTCACTACGCCCTTTCTATAAACGGGGGTAGTTTCCTTTACCAAAATGGGGCCCCCCCTTTCAAACGGTGCATGTTCCATGTACACATTAAAACCACTCAATCCAATCAAACCAGGCCTAAAATTTTGTTCCTGTAAAAAACCACACCCCCACCAAGTCTCACCAAAAACTCATTAAACCACTTAAGCTTCCCTCCCCCTCTCAACCCGTTAATATTTTAGTAAAACACTTGAAATTAACAAATGGGTTTTCCTTTTGTCCCCGGCATTGACTTTAAACCCCCGTTTTGTTTTGCAACACCCTGTCCCCCCCCCCCTTTTTTGGGAATACCTTTGCAAACCCTTTATCCTTGGGTTTACCTTCCCTTTTCCCTTTTGTACCTCCACCCAAGACTTTTTCCCAGGGGGTTTGGGGAGGATGGCACATCATCAGAACCCCATGATCGCAGTCCCTTTTTGTGTCCCCCCCTCCACCTTTTCATTTTGAACTGAAGCACCGTCCTGATGCACCTCCACCCTACTGCATGCACTTCAATCCCCTTTAAATCTCTCGTCGCAAAACCGTCACTTTGCCATACCATCATTCACACCTTCCCCCCGAAAGACCCCGGGCTTCCACCTGATTAGGACCGTTCCTCTAACAAGTCTCCAACGCCTTTACCAAAGACGGCCCCTTCTCCCCATATTAGGTAGTCTTCCTCAAAAAACCTTATTTGTCCAATGACTGAGTTTTTCCTTTTAGCGTTTTCAAACTGGGGATTCAAGCTCCTTTTTCCTTTCTACCTCCTCATTTCCCTGCAACCGTTGTTGGGGGGGGTGAGCAAGAACTTCTCGCTCACACCAAAACCCCGTCCCCTGGCTGTGTTGCTCTGTGCTGTTCGCTGTTTCGTTGTGTTGTCCGGGTACCCATTCGTTTCTCACACTGCGCCGCGATGTGGTCATATGACCCCATAGCCACACGTACGGTTTTGCCCCGCATACGTTACATAACTTTTGTCCTTAATTCTTTCAACAAATTTGAAAGGGAAAAGGGTGCCGAAGAGTCATTTTAACTGTATAAAGCGCCTTCAGCGCCCGCAACGGTCCAGTTGCCCATCTCCCTGCTGTGGCTACTGAAACCGTCCCCTAAGTAAAGCATTCACTGGTAAATCAAAATCATCGCCTCAAAAGGACATTCCTGATTTTTCACCCGGTGTAATGTCGAGATACTCAGAAGGTTTACCCCAGCTGTATTAAAACCGGGATGAGGGCTCCTGATACTTTTCACCCTGCCTCGTGATTGTGCAACGTCACTTAACGAAGATTCTTGTCATTCCATTTTAATGCGACACCACATATCTCCTCATTTCATACCATAGGTATCGCGAAGATCGCTGGTAATAATAAAACCATGTTGGATCCCGTGACAGCACCACGGATCATTCAAGCAACAGTGTTTGATTCTTTTTCTGCTATCACGCCAGTTGGAGAAAAAAAAAGTTTCCCCCCCAACCAAAGCTAGGGGGAGCCAATCAGGTAAAAGCGCAAAACAAACTCAAACAGGGCGTCGCGAGCTCGTCCCACGGCCGGGGGGCGATGAGGACAATTCCCCCTTGATTGTAATAATAAAATTATCTCCCTGATACACCCCGTCAACAACTGCATGAAAACCCCTGTGGTTCACACTCACACACCCAAATTGATATAAACCAAAAAATTAAGAATCATAAAATAATAATTTTAATAGTCCCCTAAGTTTTTCCCTTTTATACTCCAGTCAGAAACTATTATTGTACCAAAACAAAAACATTCACTTTCTAAATTTAAAAAACGCTAATGTAGTTAGCCAAAAACCAACTTGCTCCCTAATCCTGTAAAAAATTTGAGTTATGAATTAGTCTGCCCAAAAAAAAAGCCTAGCCCTGCGGTGTGATAAAGGCCTCCTCGTAATTAGATTTATAAATGTAAATCACACAATTTTTGTGAGGGGGAAAAAAGGGGGTTAAAATGGGGTTAAGGTTTTTCGGGCAAAGGAAAACCATAGGGAGTTACGTTGCCGCGCACCCCAACCCCCCCCTTCTGGCGGGCTGGGGCAAAACTAGTTCCCCGGTTTCCGATTTGTTAAATTTTCTACTCCTGGAATATTGACCTTTCCCGGTGTGGATTGAAGTTTGGGGAGTCCTTCGCCTCCCCTTTTTTCCAAACAGGGAGGGTATCTACCAGAGTATTACGTTTGTTCTTTTCTGTGTTTGCTGGTTACCCGTAATGATTTTGGGGATTTTCATTCTTTTTTTTTCTTAAATGTTTTAATTATCTGATAGGTAAACCCGTTTATTTTTTCTTATTTTTCAGCTTTTTCCCGGCGTGTCCTTCCGGATAGACGCCAGATAAAGGGCAAGACGGGGAATAGTAATTATTAACATTATTCTACAACTACCGGCCCTTACCTATACTACTTGTGCTCCATCCAAGTGGTAGGAGATTCCAGAACATCGGATTACCATCTGCCCAGGATAACCTACATAAATAACATCAGAGGAACTATCCAGGGCCATACCTACTCCTACCCAACTACAAGAACTGAAGGCCATTTTTTTTTTTTATTATATTTAAATTTTAAGTAAAATTCTCAAAAATCATTTTTCTTGTTTTTCCTAAATCATTTCTTTATTTATTTATTTTTCCATTAGTTTCTTTTGTTCAGTAGGAAGGCGTTCCACTGACAAATATCCTAAAACATGTAAAACCCCGCAATGTAATCTTTATAGAGAATAAACTTCATTTGATTTGATTTGAACTGGAGCTACCCAACCCTTTCTTAGACCAAACCTGATTTCCAACAAGTTTAAAACTTCCAAAAATACTAATACAATTTTTACTGGTACTCATTACTATAAATACAAAATTGTTAAAAGCATCATTCCAAAATAACGATTTAATTTGTAAAAAATAATTCTAAAATATAAAACTAGCTCTAAACTATAAGACAACTAGTGCTTAAATATAAGTCAGTTAGCCATAAAATGAGATAACTAGCCATTACAGATTAGTAATATATATTATTAATCTACAAGACAACTATCCCCACAACCATTTGAACATTAATATTCGTAACTTACATTTTCGAGACCCTGGATCTTTCCATGGCCTCTGATCTGTCGAACCAGATGTGGTATGAAGACCTGGACAGTGCCATCATGAACACTCCCAGGATGCCTTTAGTCTTCTGCCCCACCTTCATGCAGGAAGACTAATTATAAGAAGGTAATAAAAATACAAGAAAGCTATAGAATCAGCTGTGTTTTTGCATGCACACTTTCTAACCTAGTTCCATTTGCGGGTGTCGAGTTATAGCTCCTGGTCTCGCCTTTTAACTAGCAATCAGCTTTAGGCTCCTGTAAGTTGCAGCATCTAGTGCTGTAACTTACAGTAGCAGTTTGTAATTTGCTAGCACTGGGTGTTGTGGTAAATTCAGCTAATAATCTGGCATCATTGAGGCCAAATTGGAGTGTTTCATCCTGAATTTGTAATAAGGACCCATATTAATCACCCCTGTTGAAGAATTGGGACAAGAAATTTGTGGGACCTCCAGAATTACATGTGGATAACGGAAGATAAGACGACTACATCATCACTCACACAGGGAAGTGAGTCATTAGTCCTTCCATTTAGGTTTCTCGCTGGCCAGTGTAGGATTCTATTTGTTAGGCAGGTGTTTTGTGATCTGTCTACAGTAATTAAATGGTAAGTGGTATTATGAATTTCTTTTCTAACAACACCATTATAATTTAGGTACAATAATTATATTGTGTACCCAGCAAGCCTAATCATATACTTTCTACATTTTATAATTTACCATTATTGGTATTAATGTTTAATATTGTAATTATTAAATACTAGGTCTAGCTTTTGGCGAGTGGTGATGCACTGGGCATCGAAGGAGTGACAGTACTGTGACTTACTGTGACTAAGTCCCGCTTACCTTGCCCAAATTACTTGCATGTAATAATTTAGGTAATACCCTGTAAACCTCGTGCACGTAATTTCTCACATAATTAATTCATAAAACCTGTAAGGAAATAGGAAACAGGTTCGATCCAAGGAACGAGATGACACGTCCCATTCCTTGGCTCAAAAGCCCCTCACCAGCATCAATTATCAACACTAAGCTCTAAACCCACCAGGGTCATATAGCGCTGCCTTCACTTGCATCAAGGAACCTCCCTCGAAGGAAACATTTCACAGCAAAACTTCACACAACTCAAATAATGGCAACATCGCTTACTGCAGACTATTGTTTAAACAAACAATACAAATTCTTTTAACCTGTTGACTTGCTGTGTAAGCTGGGTCTTTCATTATTATGGGAGCGCTGAACCCGAAGGGATTATGCAGAGTTGGCGGGGGGGATGGAAGGCACTTAAGCCTAATTCAAGGAATTGGAGCACAGATCCTAGATCAAGAGCCCCCTCACAAACATCAAGAGCCCCTCATCAACGTCACCACCTCATTTGGAAAAATATCTGTGTAAGCCCAAACCTCCGGGTCCTTCTGTCTTTTTTTTCCTCTGTCGTAAGTTAACCTTGCAGTTCATGTACCAGTCTCGTGGTGGTTCATGTTCACATTGTGTTTCATTTAGAGTATAGTGAACACTAGATCCATTGCAGATTCAACTGTCTATAATTGTGGCATCTTTATCATGAAAATGCATTAGTAAAAATCCCACCATTTTCTACTGCAATAAGTGGGTACCAGTTTCTTTTAGCGCACCAGAACTTTTTTTTTTTCATCGCTTTTATCTTATATTCCATTTTATTTCCTTTATGGTATGTTATAATGGACAGAGGACAACCTAACCCGACCTTATCCCTATTAACGAAAATCGAGAGATTAGCTGCAAATCGTATGAGAAAAATTCACATAGTATTTGAGAGGATGGGTTGTCAGGGTCCGAGAAATTCGGATTCCCTCCCTTTCCTTGAATCAAAACAATGTCTCCCATTCCCTAAACGCTTTGTAACTCCTATGGTTGAACGCTTCCTGTTGAATGTAAGAATAATAATATAACACTAGTAAATCAGTAGGACCTACCATGTCATAGCACTGGTCAGTAGCCAGTACCATGGAGTCAATAGGTGATGTATGGTTGGCCACTACGATGCCATGGGTGGGCCGGTTCTCACTGTTGTGAAATCTTTGAGGAACATTTAGGCCATTTTTTAACAGAATAAATTAACAATAATTCTAAAAAAGGAGATAAGATGTCATCTAATATGCTTTTTGTGTTATTCTAAGTAAATGAAAGTAATTCCTCAAAGTTCAGGCATATATAATCATATGCTCACTAGATATATGAACATTATATTGTTATTGTTACGCAATGTGACACTTTTGCATATACTGCGCAAGAAAACACACTGGTATCCCTACCTGGCAACAACAGAGAGTGATCCAGCAATAAAGTCAAAACACCAGGTGACGACACCTGCGTTGAGGCGTCGCTTGAAGTCGCTGGTGGGAAGAAGACCAACTGCAGAGCACAGGACTACCAAGGTAGTAAGACTGAGAACCAGCAGCAACACCCGCACTGGCATGAGGAACACCCACCGTACCACAAACCCCATCGCCCAGAACACCGTTAGGGATGGACTCATGCGAAGGCTAAGTTTCCTCCTGGTCCTGTACCGAAGAGTCATGATGCACACATAGTGACATGACACTGGTGGTGTGTTATAAGGCAAGTATATTACTCTTGAAACACCATTAGCTTTCCCCAGCACCTGGAGAGTATAACTCGTGTATGCGATTTGTTATTTGTAAAGAAGCAGAACTAACAAAGGTCGTGGTGTTGTCTAAATTATTTAGTCAAGCATTAACAAGTGCATCTGGGGTTCACACTCAATATGTTGAGCACATTACTAGTCTAACAAAGAACAAACTCTACTGTAAGTTACATTCCAGACTGTAGATAAATGTTAGAATGTTAGGCTCGTAACCGAAGGGACCGAGGATTGATGCCCATGCTGATCATGTGTGGGTAAGTCTCATAACACTTGCTATATATGGTCATCTAATAGTATCTAAAGAAACATCTAATTTTATCCGATTGTTGTGGGTCGCATCCTAGGAAAGAGCCTCCAGGTAAAATACACCACACTACTGGACTTTGTAAGACTATCATGGACTAATAACCCTAAGTATGTCTTCCTTAACTTGTGAGCATATTTCAGTCTCAACTATGTAAATTAAGATCCAACTCTACCCACCTGGAGAGCATATTCCAAGTCCTCAATTCTGCAGGTGTGAAGCTCTTACTGACGCAATCCTGGACAACGGCCCTCATCCCCGCCGCCAGGTAGGGCATTGGGTCCTGAAAACTGAAGGATCCCATGGAAGATGAAGACTCTGCTCGGGGTGACTCTGGGCAGATCACTACCCTGAAGGAAAACGCACAGGATGCTGAAATATTTCTTTAAAAGCAATGAATAAGTTAGTCAGGTTCAGAAATGCTTCCTCACATCCTTTTGTTTGGGGGCACCTGTAGCATTTTTTTGAATTATTAGTAATATTACATTAATTATGAATCGCTAATTCGTAAAGATTATTAAACGAGGCCTGAGAATGGGATAGGTGATGCGTAATTAAGTTTGCTCTGAATAGGCTAGCTTCAGTTTCTTGGATCAAAAGCCCTTCACTTGCATGAAGACATTTTTTTCCCTCCTCCCACATAAAGAAGAGGGTAATAGATTGAGACACTTCGCCTCACCTGACTACAGTATATAACACTGCTACGGTCCTATGCTGTACATTCTACAAGACTGATGGACTGAACACATCGACTCCAGGCTGAGGGACTGATTACCTCAAACTACTCCTCTCCTTATAGCTTCCTGCTTTGTATTGGACTGATAAAGCCACTGTGTAGCGAAACGTTTCCTGAATAAAGATTCCCATATGTTGCATAAGTGTCTCAATCTTCAACTTGTCCAGTTGTAGCGGCCGCAGCCGCAGCAAGCAGCAACAAGGCTGCTCCTACATCTTGCCGTCCCCTGGGCCTATCCGAACTCCAGTGATGGCCAAGTTGGCAAGTACTGCTGCAACAACATGCAAGGAACCTATAGTGACATAAAAACTGACGGTGACGACAACGAAATGGACTAAATATGACAAAAGAGGGACCGGCATTCAAGTACCAGACCTGCTGCCAGACGTGAACCAGACATGAGACGTTTTCCACTACAATGAAATAACTGACCTCCATATCAACTGCACCAGTGTTTAACGGGAAGACAACATGGCAGAAAACCTGATCAACTAAATCTCCAAGGAAATGACAGGTCTGTAGGACTTTTTTCTTCAGTGCCAAACGAGGGAAAGAATTGAGCATTTAAACATGGCTGACCGGCATCCAAACAGCCGCTACTGCCAGACGTACAACTAGCGAAGTGAAATTATCATCTTTACTGACGTTCATCTGTTGACAGTAGCATCATATCTGTACCATCATCATATCACCTGTTTCCAGTGCTAACGAGAGGGAAACACAGGAGACATCGTCAAATCAACAGTACAAAACTCCAAGGTTATAGGTCGGATATCCCTCAGTGCCAGTCGTGAGAAAGAAGTGAATAGTTAAACAGTCAAGGTTAATGTTAAGTAAACTGACCTATATCATCCTGAC